GGAGGCAATTCAAAACAGGTTACTAGGCTAATTCCTGGGATAAATGAGTTGATGTATCAAGCACAGTTAAACAGGTTACGTTTTTATTCATTAAAGTTTAGAAGAATATTGAAAAATAAAAGACACAGGGCCTTGACAGGGTAGATGTTGAGAATATGTTTCCAAAAGTGGGGGAATCTTGAACCAGGGGATAGTTACAGAATAAGCGAACACTTATTAGAAATGGAGACGAAAAGGAATTTCTTCTCCCAAAGGGTAGTGAATGTTTTGAATTCCACCCCAGACAGTTTCAGTAGATCACTGAGTATTCAAAAGGGAGTCAAATAGATTTTTTGAAATATCAAGAAGTTGCTGGCTATGAGAAGCTGACATGAAAAAGGAGCTGAGGCCTGGGCAGATCAGCCATGATCTTATTGAATGATGGCGTTGACTTGAGAGGCTGAATAGCCTCCTATTTCTGATGTCCTTATATTCTTGACAAAGAATTCCATACTTCAACAACCCTCTGCATAGTTCTCTTAATATTATGCGCTTTGTTAAGCAATAATTTTAAACCGATGACACTTTACTATTGATACCCAATTCAAGAAAGAGGTTCATTTGAAAATCAAGGAAGCAGCCTAAATAGGGTTCACGACACTCCACAATCACATTTACGTTACAACCTTCCCTTCATATTTTGTATCTTAGATGTTCATTTTATTATTGGAGACAGGTTAATGCAAGCATCTTTAATTTAGTATGGAAAAGCTTTTTATGGTTGTACCTTCACAGAGTCACTTACCTCCAAATAATTCTGAACTCCAAGAATTGGTTGATGTGAAGGAGATTTCATTACTCCACTGTAAAGAATGAAATATAGTATCTATATAAACAGAGTGTTTATATTAGAGATCACCTTACATAGTTAACTAAAGTACTAAGCAGTGACTTACAGTAAAGAAAAGAACAGGTGGAGGGAATGAGCTCCAGCTAGAGCATCCTACTCCACCACCATCTTGACGATCTTTATAAGATGGCAGTGGGGTAGGACGCTCCAGCTGGAGCTTTCTGCTCCACCTATTCTTTTTCTTTCTTTTCTTTTTTCTGTGTTTTCTTCTCCTCTTCTGTATTCTCAGACTCGCAGCCTTGGACAACAGGCCCTGCCCCCTGAAGCAGGGTCAGTGGCCTGGAATGGGTTCGCCAGCGACCAGCATCCCAGACCAGAGTGGGGCAGAGGCCCAGTGCAGGAGCATGACGGCAGCCAGCGGTCAGACCACGGGGCGGCCTGCTGCACTGATATGTTGCGGAGACCCTTTGGGGAGAGACAGTGATGTCTGTCTTTTTAACTTTGCTTCTTGCTTTTCTGACGTATTGTTATACTGCAACTTTTTTTCTTCACTTCTCTATTCTGTAACTAGAAAACTTAAGATACCACTGTGAGTTGGAGACATTGTTACACTGTGGCTAACCTTGTATCAGAAGAAGCTGTACCTAGGTACCTTTGTTCCTGAGAGTGCCGTAAGTGCTGCTTATAAACTTTTCACTGTACTCATCTGAGCTAATTCTAAATTAAAACAAATACATTGACAATCTGCAGCTTTCATAGTAACTTTAAAGAAAACCTACCCCTTACGACATTTAGTCAAAGGATTCTGCCAATTCATCCAATGGACCTTATGACAACAAAAATACTGGAAATAAGAGTGCAACAAGTGATAATGCACACAACTAAGAAGATTTCTTTGTTTGCAAATATACTTACATCTTACGATAAATATTCATGCACTGATCAATACTTGGTCTAACACTGTCACATAAAGGGCAAATTGAGAATCTTTCAAGGTAAATTTCAGGATCTCCTGAGCTGACTGGCAAGTCTCTGGAATTCTACTAACTCTGATGTGCTAAATCATAGTAAACCAATTTCAAAACTATTTGCTCATGACTTGAAATGTTGTTCTAGCGTGTTTGCCCGACTTTAATCACTGCATTTGTCAACATAGACTGAGGTCCATATCACCAAGTTGAAATGCGTTGATTTCGCTCCGATTCCAAAGCCGCTGACTAATGAAAGCATCAGAGCCCGGAGCCCCCAACACCTCACGTAATTAGCTATTTTTCCATGCGTGAGTGGAAACTAAGGCACCTGGTCCTGTCCTCAGCCGAGGTCCATCAGAGACAGTGGTCAGGGGTCATTGGACAAGTCATCCGACTCAAAACGTTAGCTCTGTTTCTCTCCCCGCAGAGGTGCTACCAGACCTGCCGAGTTCCTCCAAGTGTGTGTTTTAAACTATCAGGGGTTGATGGGGGTCTTTCCTGTGTCTAAAATTACTGGGGTCAGGAGAGCAGCTGACGGCCGGGATCAATCAGACGGAGACCTTTCCCAGTCCGTGTAAACGGAGCTGCATCTACATCTGAGGAAGAAAGAATCTTCTGTCCAAAGGTGTCAGTGTGAAGGCGGGAATATACACCCACCTGTACCGAGTACCACAATACTGGAAAAAGATTAAATATCGCGCCTTCGCCGCCATTGGGTACACCGCCCGTTGCCGTTCCGGGGAACAATCGCCCACTCCTCCGCGTCCCAGAGCGACACGACGTTTTCAGGACCCCACAGCTCAGCCCAATAACAGCCTGACAGAAAACAAACAAATTCACAGACACACTACAGGTCCCACTGAAATAATGGGGCACGTCTTTAACATTTTATATTGAATATATAATTAATTCTGGTGCCTTCTGACGCCAGAGGTCTTGAGGGTTGATGTAACGACTAGACAGGCCCATTTTAACACTGCCCAGAATTGGCCACTGAATGAGAGAGATAGGGCATTTTCGGGGTCCTTCTTGAAGGTTAACGCCGATCTGATGCTGTCATGGATTCTGAGCTAATGAGAAGCGACGCTTGAAATGGGGCGCAGCTTTGCGTAAGGCTTAGAGGTTCCATCATTGTGAGAGGCCATTCTGGCCATTATGACTGTTCTGGCTCTCAGAAGGGACATTCTGCTATTTTCATGTTAACCTTGCACATTGTTCCTTATCCTGTCTCCACCGTAATAATTCCAGCTTCTAAACCCTTCGCTGTGTGTCCTTTTGGCTTAATTTGACGATTGTTTAAAATCTGTCCTCTTGTCACAATTCGATCACCCGTGGAAACATTTACTCCCTATTTACTCTGTCCAGAACTACTGAAGATTTTTAATACTTCTATGAAGTACCCTGCCAATCTTTTGTTTAAGAAAACATTCCCAACATTTCTAATCCATTTTTGGAATTAAAGTCCTCATCCCCGGAACTATTCTCACAAATCTTCTCTACACCCCCTTAAGTGCCTTCAATTTTCCTTAAAGCGCAGCACCTAGAACTGAACATTAAGGATGAACGAGCATCTTTTCCAAGTTCAACACAAATTCCTTGCGCTTGTCCCCCGTCCCCCCTCCCCCCTCCCCCCTCCCCCGTCAATAAAGTGAGCAATGTCTTATTCATTGTTCTCAGAACCTATCGTGTCACCGTCGATGACCTCCGTACGTAAATACTATGCGCTGATGAACCTCCTTTGAAGTTGTACCTTTAATTTATATTGGCCCTCAATGTTCTGTATTGTATTGAAATTTATCTGCCACCTGTCTACTCATTCTCCTAAATTGTCTACAATTTTGGAGTTCTGCATTAGCATTTTCGGAGTTCAGAAAGTTTCCGAGTTTCATATCATGTGCAAATTTTGAAATTGTGACCTGAAAACCAAGGTCAAGGTCATTACATTAGGAAGAGCGAGGGTCCCAATGTTAATTCCTGGGGAACTCGTGTAAACCTTTTTCCAGGGTGAAAAACATTTATTGATCAATGTTTCTATCACTCAGCCAATTTTGTATTATGTTGCTATTACTTTATTTCATGAGCTCCATCTTTGCTTACAAGACTGTTGTGTGACACTGTATCGAATATCTTCTGCATATCCATGTACACATCAATGCCATTGACCTGATCAACCCTCTTTGTTACCTTATCTAAATGTCCAGCAAGATAGTCAAGTATTATTTTCTCTTAACAAATCTCTCCTGACTGTGCCTAATTAACCAGAATTTGTCCATGAGACTACTAATTGTCCTGAATTATTGTTTCTAGAATTTTCCCATCACCAAAGTTAACTTGACTGCCCTGTAGGATAACCTTTGTTGAACAAGGGTGTAACATTTGCAATTCTTCAGTCCTTTGGAACTACCCTTGAGTGTAAAGAAGACTGGAAAATGACGGTAGTGGCATCACAATTTCCACTCTCAAAGTCCTGTCACCTTGTCAACTTTAAGTGCAGACAGTCTATCCAATACTCATCGCCGTATCAATTGCATTTCCTTCAATAGTCTGATTTACCTCTTCCTACACAGCATCTTCTTCCTTGGTAAAGACAGGTGCAAAATATACATTTAATATTCCAATGATGCCCCTGGCTCCGTGTAAATCCCTACTTAGTCTCTAAATAGCCCTACTCTTCATCTTACTTTAATACCTATACGCCTAAACCAGATGTCGGGAGGGATGGTGGTGGAGGAGAGAAGAAGGACTGTTGCAATGACTCCAGTCCTGCAAACAGAGTGGAAATGAGGGAGAGTTTAACTTTCAGGAGATTGAATAATAAGCCAGGCCACATTTTTGAATCGATGTGTTTTATTCTCCCTCTCGGTAACCGGGAATGATGCACTGAAGCAGACTAGCGTCCATCCATGCAAATCTTTCAGCCATTGTAGACCATCCAATTCTTTGTCTCCTATTATTTACATCCTACACGTTTGGGTTCCCCGATCCTCTTCATTCCGCCTGTTTTACCTGATCAGGTTTTATTTTAAAAAAAAAAGAAAAACACACATCCACTTTCAATCACCGACCAGGGACGCTCCCTGAGCCGCACCCCCACGCCTATATCAAAGATGACTGCCCCCGTAGCCGTCACAGTGCTGCCGGGCGTGTCCTGGCTATCAGCTGATTGACAGCTCCCAGAGGCTGGGCGTCGGGCTCGCAGCTCCGCTTGTTCCTGAGCTCAGAGAGAGAGCAAGAGAATGGCTCGCAGGCTCCGGGATTCACTGCACAGCATTCCTACCATTTTGGACTAAGTCAAGTCTGGTCACAGGCACATCCCCGTGTTTGGTTTCTCAGAGCAGGCGATGAGCAGACTAAATGAAGGGTGAATGCCAAACTAGAGAGAAAGAGATCATCAAAATGACAGTGGATTTTGAAGAGTGTGTGAAAGATTCCCCTCGGTTCAGGTAAGGGGTATGTAATCATTGGACAGGGATTATGTTTCTTTCTGGATTCATTGATTCTGAGTGGATACTTGCCTTGCAGATTACAGTCTTACACTGTTATGTGTAAAGGATGAATATAAATGTTCTAACCGGTATATTTGAAACGTGTGTGTCTGCGAAATCCGGTATTTAATAATTTGTGTGTTTGCAAAGAGAATCATAAATAAACTGTGTGAGTATAAGGCACAATGCGCGAGGCTTCTCCGTGATCGCTTTGCATTCCTGGTCAAACCAAAAGCTGAGTTTAAGTAAGGTCTGTCGCCGTTTCATATTTCAGTCTATTAATTGTATGCAGTTTTGTGAGCAGTGGGAAAAAGGTGCTGATGGCAGTGTACAAGTGTTGGGCAATTGTTCTGGGACAGGAGTTTTCTTGCCAAAGTATGGGGACAGTGGTCATTATTGCATGGTCTGGCGCGATTAAATCTGACGTGGGACAGGGTCCCACCAGAATAGGACGCCAGGAATGCATAAAGAAATCTGTGATGATTCGGTTTGAACTGTCCTCTTTCTCGTTTTGAACTGTCTTTTTGCTTGCAAAAACGCAGCGTGCAATTTTTTTTTTGCACGTCAATTTCTGGCAATGTTCTGCAATTTCAGCGGGAATGAATGTGTCCAAATGTTGAATGCTAGCGAGCCCCCAGCGCCCCTCCTTTTGTGAGATGGTTGATGAAGGTGTACGTCAACCGGCCGGTAATAAATACATACAATGAAGTCGTGGATCTGCCCTGTGACTGGACTTGTAGCATTTCTGCTGTCAGTTCAGTCAGTGTAGTAATTACAAAGAGGGGAGAGGCGCCATTTCTCGTTTTATTAAAATCCCAGCCGCACATCATTTTTTGGGGTATTTCCCGGCAATTTTCCGTTATTGACTTCTTGTGTGAAGATCTCTGCTCATTTTTTCAATTAATTCCCGGAGAAATGATTTGACCCTTGATGAGGAATTGTAGCAACCTCGAGATCAGGACAGAGGCTGAGAAACGGTTCTGAATTCTGTTCCTGTAAAACTGCCCGATGTAGATAATAGCTGTTGGAATAGTGAGCTCTATTGCTGCTCTCGGTCCTGTTCTGTGCATCATGGTGTGTTTGCTTATTGTATTTGGTTTAAGTTTTGGACATTATTCCTCAGTGTCGGGATTTTTTTTAGTAATTGGAATCGTTCCTCGAAATATATCCATTGTGTGCAACATATAGTGGATACAGTAGCGAGCCTTCCTAAGAGCTGTGCTCAGTCTCTGGAGGTTAAAACAGAAGGGGAGGAATTGGATTCACTGGCTTTTTGCTGGTTCTGTGGACTCTTGGCTTTTGTATGCTGACTCCTCAAACCAGTCCATATGGTACAAGTCAGGAATATGATAGAGTATTCTCCACTTGCAACTCTAGCAACACATGAGAAGCTTGACCCCGTCCAAGACAAAGCAGCCTTCCCTTCATCATTTAATAACACCTTCCAAGCTTGCACACTCCACCACCCAGTAGGACAGGAGCAACAGATACAAGGGAACACCACCACTTACAAATTTCCTCCAATTCACATGTCATCTTGACTTGGCACTATATATTTATATTTATAATTCACCATCACTGAGTCAAAGTCCTCAAACTCCCTTCGTAGCAATACTATGGATGTTCTTACTACTCCAGAAGATGCAGTAGTTCAAAAAAGTGGCACACCACCACCTTTCAAGAACAATTTGGAATAGGCATTAAATGCTGGCCCAGCCAGTGACACTGACATCCCAGCAACTAATAAAGAAACACTGTGATGATGCACTCACAAATGAGCCCATGCATTATGCCTGGAGTATTGTCTGACTAGAAACATCTTCACATATGATGTGAACAAATGCTGTGTAAATCGTTCCATTAATTTAAAAATAAGAACAAAATGTATGAGTGGAAGGTGAGGATGAAATTATGTCTGCATGGCCTGGTTCAAATATTTCATCTGCTGTATCTGCTCCTGTACCTGGTGTGTCACAGACACAATAGGCCATTTGGCCTATCTCTGCACTGGATCATTCCACAGTTCTGTAATTGATCTGGGCTCACCATGTACAATGTTGCAGGAGATTAACATAAAAGAGTTGGAAATAGAAGAATGATATCAAATTCTACTAGCAATGCTAAATGAATGGATATGTGAGTAAGAGATTCGGGAGGGTGGAGAGAGGTCAACAGAAAGGCCAAATGGATGCAAGTTGCACCTCAGTGTATAAAAATGTAGATAGTACATTTGAGAAAGAACATGAGTGAAGTCATAAGGCAGTAAAATTCTGACGTTTGGAAGAATAAAGAGATCTAGGGACATCTATGGCTAGCCCTTTAAAGGTGGGAGTGCAGTCAGCAAGCAGATGGGATTCTGGGTCCTGTACATAGTTTGGAATTTGTACAATCATTGCTTGGCTATATTTGGAAAATTGCATGTACTTCTGGGTGTCTGAAGACAAGAAAGATAGAATTATAGAAAAGATAAAGTGAAGATTCTCTAGCATGAAACCACATTGTGAGATTGTAGTTATGAAGAATGGTTCAAACATTTGGGATCTTTACACAAGAACAGAGAAAGTTTAAGGGGGACATTTTCAAAATTCAAACAGACCCTTTCAGTCATGTGCAAGTTGGTAACAAGAAGGTGTAGACTGAGGGAGTGTTGCGAAGAAAACTAAGTGAGGAAGTTGGACATTTATTTAAGAGGGTAATTGGATAATGGAATTCTTCACTACAGCAGCTTTTAAAGCAAAGGCTATAATGCAATTTAAAAGAGAACTTGAATATCAATGTAAAAGGATACAGAGGAGGAACCAGGAATCAAATTAGCATAGACAGATGCAGGTATTCCATTTGTTCTTGGAACATGAGAGCATGGACAAGTCTGAGTTTTGTGCTCATCTTTTTTGCTCTGAGGACCAGTGTTAGCTGTTCATTTTGAGACAATTTCTTGCTGTTAGTCTTGACCAAATGACTGCATTGTCAACTCTGACTCGTGGGGAGACAGTGGCCTAGTGGTATTATCACTGGACTGTTAATTCAGAAACTCAGCTAATGTTCTGCCATAACAGATGGAAAAACCCGTCTAGTTCACTAATGTCCTTTATGGAAGGAAATCTGCCATTCTTATTCGGTCTGGCCTACATGGGATTCCAGATCCACAGCAATGTGGTTGACTCTTAATTGTCCTCTGGCAATTAGGGATAGACAATAAATGCTGGCCTAGCCAGGGATATCGACATCCTGTGAGTGAATAGAAAAAAAGGAAAGAGACTCAAGCTGCAGTCCAGGACTTCAGCGTATCATTTTGGGCTGATACTTTAGTGAACTGTTGAAGGAGACCTGTGTTGTGTACCTTCTGACACCATGTAAAACATTCTGCCACATCTTTTTATATGAGGAGCATTATATGAGTGAAAGGTGTTCTTGCGCTGGGTAATTTTGAATATTGATTTAAGCAGGTTGTGAAAAATGTCTCTCATTGACCTAGGGCTGAGCCTGTAAAACTCTGTACAAATTCGGGATACACTGTACTATTTGGGGTTCTGTACTATTTCAACACCTGATTATAAAATTGCGGAACTTGCCAGCACAAGGAATAGTTGAGGCCAATAGTGCAGATAAATTTAAAAGAAAGATGGAAAGCACCATGTGGGAAGAAAGGAATGGAAGCTCATACTGATAGGATTAAATAAAGTAAGGTGGGAAGGTTGTACGTAACATCAACCCCAGCACAGCCCATTTGGGCCAAATGGCTTGTTTCTGTGCTGTGTTGACCATGTAACTTTGCACTTTTAAAATCTTTGAGTGGTGTGCATGATCACATACAGCTTTCATTACTTGTGCCTTCAGGGATTTCCAGCAATGAATTTTAATGCATTAGCATTGGTTTATCAATCCCCTCTCCATTGTGTTTCATTTCCTGAAGGATATGCTGTCTCAGATGGTCCTGTGCATATTTCAGGTCAGGGAGCTTCCCATCACTCTCTGGAAGCCCATCCTCTCAAAGAATAATGAGAAGAAAACGGGCACAAACAAGTGTCACAGATTTTAAAGTGATTAAAGATGGTCACAAAGTTCATAACATTCCTATGTTTAGCAACTGAGCTTACTTTTGTCATGTGCTGCTGGATCACAATATTAGGCCTGATGTGTTTGTCGTGAGTTTTCAGTCTTCAGACAAATTTCCCATGCAGACTAACTGGTAAGGCATGAAAGGATGCCTTGTGTATGTGTATGCATGATCACATGTCTGTATTTGATACTGATAATGTTTGTAAGTTCTTGACTACAAGAAATTATATTTATTTAAATAGCAGAAGCAATATTTGAACTTGAGTTTTCAGTTTACCTTCAAAGCAAAACATTAACACTACTATCGTGATTATGTGTAGAATGTTAGAATTTACAGTCTTTTCAGTGATGGGATCAGTGTTCTTGCTAGTGATTTATATATTTATGTTGCAGAGGTGCATCAGCCAAGCAGATCTAAAATTACTCCCATTAAAATGCAAGCAGTTTAGCAACAGTGAAGAAACTAGTCTGATAACCAGTAACAAAAATGATCTTATCCAAAATTGCACTTAGATAAATTCCTGTAAAGTGTAACATTTAGCCTCCTTCACTTATCTTGGTTGTTAAACACAAGGCTAAAGGGGATGCAGTAATAATGGAGTACTGTTGTCTGCTAGAGCCTTGCAAAATTCTTTTTAAATTTAATGGAAAAAAAATTCTGTAGCAACATTTACATTGCTTTCTGGTTTGGTGGTCTTTGAAAGGAATCTGACAGGTAAACTTCCTGAAACTCCCTGTCTGACAAGATGTGATCTACACCCTTTAACACAGCACATATCACCAAAAACTGTCAATAGAAAATTGATGTCTTGTAGATTTATTTTCTAAGGTCTATTGAAAAAATGCTTTCAGGAGAGGGTTGCTGTAATTCTGCAGTAATTGTATGTAATATTACTAAG